ACACACACACACACACACACACACACACACACACACACACACACACATGCACACTCCACCCCTTGGAGGAGCCTGGAATGATTGTTAAAAATGCAGGTGATGCCAAGTATGGCAACACTTGGGAAGCAGATGATCATGAGTTCAAGGCCAGCAGAAGTAGCAAGATATTCCTGACTGAACTCATAGACAAAAAGTAGAGTAGAAATTGTTAGAGTCTGGGGCCAGGTAGGTAACTGGGACTGTTGAATAGACACAGAGTTCATGCAAAGTATGGTGAAAACACTCTAGACAGGTCAGACAGCAGGGTGAATTTTCTTAGTGCCGCCAAACTGTATGTTTTCAAACAGTTAAAGAGCCAAGCCCTGTGTTGTGAATGCAATAACTCAGGAAGAGGAAAAAATGCATTACCATTGCAAAAGGAGAAAAAAAAAAACAAACAACAAAACGGTGATACCCTACTTCCAATATGCCTGGCCCAGACTTTATTACAACTTTTGTTCGTTTGTTTGCTTTCAGATTTTTTGAAACAGGGTCTCACACTGTAGCCCAGAATGGCCTTGGAACTCACTATGTAGTCCAAGGGATGGCTCATGGTAATCCTCCTGCTTCAGCTTCCTGAGTGCTACAATTATAGATGCGAACCACCAGACCCCACTTCATTACACCTTAAATATAGCTCAAACGAGCTTGACAGAAGTGATCTGAGGACCACACTAAAAAAAAAAAAAAAAAAAAAAAAAGAGCTTTCCCTTTTAGAGGAAGACAAACTGAAGTACGCAAAAGTGCTCTGATGTCACGCACTGTGTTTGGTCAGTGGGTTTGGGGCAAGCACCGTACTGATGGGGTAGAGAAAGCAAGGGCAGCCTTGAGGGTCTCACCATGGATACATGGGGGTCCTTAGTTCACTGAGTTGCCCTTCTGTGTAGGTTTGTGATTTTTCTATAATGAAAACACTTTCCGGAAAGGGTTCAAGTGGAGTGACGGCAAGGGAAGGCTGACGAAGGAGGTGGAGGGCAGTAGCAGCCTGCTGCACGTGCTCGGGGCGGCCAAGGGCCCCATGCAAACCCTGTACTGTTACTCAGAAACCCTGGAACGTTCGTTCACCTGTAACATCCTCAGTTCCTCTGTGGCGGAGGCCAGGCCTGCCCGTAGGGAAGCATTTGACTGAGGTACAGCATGCCAGTGCTCTTGGCCTGCATAAGTAACCCACGCGCCCCTGGGACTCACCCCTGGGCTGGCTCACTCTTGTGATCCAGTGACAAATGGGAGCGTTCCGGCAAGGGGGGCTGGTTGGTAAGGGACCTGAAAACAACCACATACTGAGATGCTAAGAATGATGGACTTGGGGAAAAAAGCAAGTTGTTAGGACCTGTGATAGCTTTCTCCAAACTCAGGAAAGTTAGGTGTACAGCACAGACATGCCTGTTTCAGAAAATGGACAGTAGAAGGAGATATGCTTTGGATCAAGAGGAGAAAGTATCTGTTCAAGGGTGGTAGTGGGGATGGAGTGAGAAGCAACTTGGGTTACAACAAAGTGCTTGCATTGTTCAACCACAGTGAGCTGTGTCTCAGTGGAGCGACCTCCGCCCACTGCTGAAAGCGTTGAGTGGTTATTCAGAAGAGTCCCAGGGTGGTGTGGAATGGGAAACAGGCACATGGCACTATGAGAATTAGAGCAGAGAACCATGTTATGAACTACAGGCCTCGCACAAGGCTTTGCCTCTCTATTCAACACCCTTTCTTTGTAAAAGAAGCGGGCTGGGGTTGACATCCCAGGGAAACGAGCCAGATGGCTGTTGAGATCCTCCTTCCTGTCCCATCTGTGAATTGCTCTCTTTGCAGCTAGCCTGTCAGCACTCCAGCCTCGGCTCCCCACTGTGGGATCAGCTGTCCTGGCCAATTACCCCAGTCTAGCACTGGTGCTGCTGTTCTGATGGACTCCTGGGTTAGACAGCTCAGAATCTCTTTGCTTCCTTCTCCTCTTTGGGTCTCTCTTGGCCTCAAGAATGCTTCCTTGATTTGCTCTTAATTCTGCAAGTCTGTTGACACCAATGTAAGCGGGCCTCACCACATAGCATGTAGACGGTAGCTTCTGATTTCTGAGGTAAGAGGGCCCTAGAGAACGAGGCACAACCTGCCCCCTCTCTACAAAGGAAAATGAGACGCCAACACCATGAATAAGCATGGCGTATAGTGGTGGTTCGTAGTTCTAATCCACACAGTACCACGCTCTTTCTGTCTGTGTCCCACCGGCCCTGGGCCTTCATCTCAGGCCACCCTGGTGCGTTTCAACATTAGTTTTACAGAGATTGGCCATGATGTAAGCTCAGGATGATTGGTTTATTTGTACAGTAACACGATGGTCCTCGGTTAAACCACACGTGCACATCCACGAACTATCCCCACTTGTCCCTGAGAGAGAGCAGGGGTCTGCTTTGAGTTAGAGAACACCATCTTTTCCATGCTTCTCACGCGCACTGCCAAGGCAGGACTGCTGAATTGTGAAATGAAGAAAGTTCCTAGCCAACCCAGGCTCTCTGGAGTCCGTAAATCCAGGTCATTTGGATAGTAAATGTATGGTTGAACTCCAACAAGTACAAAAATGACATATATCATGTAAACTGGCTGTGCCCTGAGTACACCCATAAAAGGCCCTGGACTCACTTTGGTTCTTCTGTGGCTATTCTGGTCTCTTCTAGCTCTTGCGCTTGTTTCAGCCAAGGCAATTTAGCTTCCACTGGACTTTTTTCTGAGGGGGGAACAAAAAAAAAAGGAAAATAAACAGTGAACTTAATTACTATCAACCATTAAGGAGTTTGATACACGCTTGTTATTTGACTGCAGAGTTCATTAGCATTGGGGTTTTACTTTTCAGATGCACAGTACAATTGTTTCTGGAGTGAATAGAATTCCTCCTATTTTTTTTTTAAGTTAACATACTGCAAAATGCAACCAAAGTAATCCCTGTGATGTAGCTGAATGTGGCTGAACATCCAAAAGTTCAACATACAACTGCCGTGTATAACTCAGGCCCTTTTCTGCTCCTATTACAGCAATATCAGAGTTTTTCTTTTGCCACAAATTCTTCTTGTCTCTCAAATTAATAAACCAATAGAGAAAAGCAAATATCACAGAGGCCAATGAAGTGGAAAGATGAGCTGTGTGTGGCTTACTCAGAATCCGCTGTTAACCTAGGAAATGAAAGCCATCTACATGGGCATAGAAGGGACAGTTGCTACTCCCTCTGTCCTTTGAGGCTTCCGAGACTTTACTCCTAATCCAGTAGTAAGAGATGCTTCAGGGAGATTAGAGACACTGAGAAAATGTCCGTGAAAGCCTGTTGATGACAGAGGTAATAAGCAAAGGCTTCGAGATGGGGATCTATGACTGTGTATGCCTGCCATGGCAACCACTGATCTTTCTATACAATGGATTTAGTCAGACATGTGGACTAATGGACTGTGGGACTATCTGCATAAACAAGGAACTGAGGGAGAATTTTACCATCCTTTCTGAAGTACCAGGGAAGAGTATTTACAAAGGCAAGAACAATCTTTTTCCATTTCCTCTTTTATCTATCTATCTATTTATTTATTTATTTATTTATTTATTTATTTATTTATTTATTTGTGTGTGTGTGTGTGTGTGTGTGTGTGTGTGTGTGTGTGTGTGTGTGTGTAGGACAATTTGTATCTTGGAGTCATGGTTCCCTGCTTCTACCACCTGGGTTCCTGGATTCAAACCAGGTTGTCAGGGCTTGCAGCACGTACCTTCACCTGATGAGCCAGCTTTCTAGCTGTTTTTTTTCTAGGTCAAGAAGATGCCTGTCATAAGGATAGGCACAAAGAAACAATCACAGGGGGAGAGCAAATATCTGAGAGGTTATCCCAAGACTTTCTAGGCATGAATGTCTGCTTATCCACATGGACCAAATGAGAAATTCTAAAGACACTCACAGACCCAGAGTGGCAACTAAGTCTTCACTCATCCCATATACTGTGACATGATAATGTCATCGTGCCTGTGTCAAGGGGTACTGAAGTGGAGAGGCACCCACACTGAGAACAAAGGGTGGGAAGAGCTATTCTGGGAGCGAGAACAGCAGACTTTTTCTCCCTCTCACTCCTTTATTGATCCTCTTTCCCTTATTCACTCTTTCCTCTTCATCTTCCTTTCCCTTGACTGTGGGAACTACAGAAAGAAGATTTTTATGTCCACCATGAAATGTGAGCAGAACCTAGATAGATGAGAACCACCCTGTGTGATCCACATCAACAGCAATTCCATCCCCCCCAGATCATAAATCACGTACGTCCAACTTCCTTAGCCAAATCTCTTGCAAACTGCCAACAAAACCATCTCTAAAAGAAAATAAGTGGGGCTCCACAAGAAGACCAGCAGAGCCAACAAATCTGGGCCCAGTGGGGCCCGCAGAGACTGATGCAACAACCAAGAACCATGCATGGATGGCCCCCTGCTCAGATGCAGCCCAGAGGCAGCTCAGTCTCCTTGAGGGTTCCCTAGTAAGAGGAGCAGGGACTGTCTCTGACATGAACTCCGGAGCATGTCTCTCGATTGCTTCCCCTAGGGGGTGGGGGCAGCCTGGCCAGGCCGCAGAGGAAGAGGATGCAGGCAGTCAGTCCTTGATAGACTTGATAGTCTATGGCCAGTTGGTAGGGGAGAAGGGCTCCCCTTTCCATGGACTAGAGGAGGGGGATAGAAGGGAAGAAAGAGGGTGGGACCAGGAGGAGACAAGGGAAGGGGCTATGATTGGGATATAAAATGAATAAACTAAAAAAAAAAAAAAGACTTTCAAAAAAGAAGAAGAACTAAAATGGCAATACACAACATTACCCAAACCCAGGAGAAAGAAAAAAAAAAAAAAAAAAAAAAAAACAGAAAGAAAAAGAAGTGGGACAGGAAGTTCCTGGGTACTGAACAAGAGCTGGAAAACCCCATCTGATTTCAATTACAACATACCTCGCTCTTACCTTTAGGCTTATAGCATGGAGTGGGGATGACACACTCCTCTTTGATGTGAAGCTTCATCTGCGGGTTGCAGCCCCCGACGTGCTGCCCACGATGGTTGATACAAAGAACCACTCGGTAGCGCAACCCTCGGCCGCAAGTCACCGTGCACTTTGGAAAGAGATGGGAGAAGCCAGTGAGCAGCTTTCCCTGGACAAGGTGGACAAAGTCAGCATTTTTAACATAGAGGTGAGAGCTATGAAGGGGTGTGACAAGGACCTCTTCAGAATACACTGTGTGATGAAGGAGAGGGAGGCTGATCTTCTGAGATGCTTCTGCTTCAGCGACTCCCCCCCCCCCTTACACAGCCCATCCTGGTTTTCTTTGTTTTAATTTATTAGATGTTTTTCTGCACGTGCCTGATGCCTATGGAGCACAGAAAAGGGTGTCAGACCCCTGGAAGGTTTTAAGTCACTGAGTGGGTGCTGGGAAATGAACGTAGGTCCACTGGAAGAGCGGCTGGTGCTCCTAACCACTGAGCCATCTCTCCAGCCTCATACAATTTTCAGTTCAAAGGCATTTAAGATGGATTCAGAGCACAAGAAGAGCAAATGTTCTGAATTTCCTGTGCTCTAAATTAAATATGAAAGAAACTTGATGCAGGCTTTCTAAAGCTTAAACTTTTCATGATACATTACCCAAAGCAATCTGTGAAACTGAAAGAAATTCTTCTAAACAGTGAATGTAAGAAAATTCACTTCAACCAACCACTCCAGAGGATTAAACTATCTGTTCTGTCTACAGTGATCTTGCAGAGTTGTCGTCAGATCCAGAGACCATCAGGGAGGGATTAATCAGCCACCCAGTATGAGAAAACTACCATAGAGGATGAGGAGACAGCTCAGCCAGTAATGCCCCAGGCAGGCACAAGGACCTGAGTTCAAGTCCTAAGCACCCATGTAAATAGCTGGATTCAGCAGAGAGCACCTGGACTATTAGGCAGATGCAGGAAAATCCCTGAGGCTTGCTGGCCACGCAGCCTCACAGAATCAGTGGGCTCCAGGTTCAGTGAGAGAAATTCCACCACGAAGTAAGATGGAGAGTGATTGAGGAAGGCATCATCTAACATTGATATTTAACCTTCACACACACACACACACACACACACACGCACGCACGCACGCACGCACACACACACACACACACACACACACACACAAACTGCCACAGGTGTATTGGGCAGTTAAAGTCATGAAACATGATGCTTTATTCTCCTCCTGACTTTTCATGGACTCTGTGCTGTTAGCACTTTAGTCAATGTCCTACTAATACCTATTTATAATTTGACAGTTATTCTTCCTTATAAATCAAGTGTTTTCAAGTCATGTGAAAATCCAGCAAGGCTTTTGAGTTTATCTTGAGGTATTGACAGTGTGTCTGTGAGCATATGTGCTTCTTTGATAGCATGTATGTGAGTATATCTGTCCCTTTAAATGGTTAGGCTTTAAGATGTTTTACTGACACATGTTCATTGCATAAAATGATGGACTTCATGAAGACATTCTCAGTCAAGTGTGTCATGTACTTGGACCGTATCCACTTCCATTACACTGTTCTATGTCCCTCCTTTTTCTTTTCCCAAAAATCCATCCTTGTCCTTTGTATGTGTGTGTGCGTGTGTGCATACATGTGCGCGCATGCATGAGCGTATGTGTGAGGCCACTACCTGAAACTCATTTTAGGATTGAGCTTTGTAGAAGAATAGATTGAAAGTGAATTCAAGAAGAGAATCACATAAGTCAAATAGTTACAGAGCTCATTCCTGCTATTTTTAAAAGATGGAAGGATAAAACCGGTCATGGCATTTAGATTTCACTGGGCATAGTTTTTGTTTGTTTGTTTTGTTTTTAATGCTTAACAGTTTTATTTTAAAATGCCAGCATTCACCACACATTGGAAATTATATTCTTTTCTCCTAAGCTTACTATAAAAATGTATGTCAACCTAAATACAGGAGAAGGGGAAAGTCACTTTTTCAGACTTCTTTTAGGGGGAATGTGGCTGCAAACAGAGCTGATATCAAATGCCCTAAAAGTTCAGAGGAAGTTCTCCAGGCGTGGATATCGGAGCAGAGCAAGCGGCTCTCCACCTGGCCAACTCCTTCCAAGTGCAGCCTCCTTCCTGCAGCATCCCTGGACCCTTCAAGTGCGATGAGTCCCTTCACGGTGTGGCCCCGAAGGACCTTGCACAGACGTCACACCACTCATGACCAACCACAAAGGCCCACTGTATTACAACTGCCTGCCTGCATGGCTGTGCAACTAACTTCTAGGCCTTTGGGAAATGGAGGCTCGTGTTCTCTATTTCCAGCTGTCAACCAACACACTGAACAGTTGAATCTCTACAACATCAAATGTATGTATGTATGTATGTATGTATTTCTGTCAGTTCTTTGAGGATGTCAAACACTGTAGTTTGAGTATGGTCACTCTCTTCCACCAACTCCTGGCAGATCACCCTCCACATTCTGTACCCATCCAGCCCAGTGTCCTCATTTTTAAAAAAATACCCACCAAGCACAATTAGCGATGCCCACACTCTTGGGTGTGTGACCATCCTCTGGACCACGTTAGACCTACTAGTAGTCATATCCATAAAGAAAACTAACTTCCCATGACCACCTCCCCACTCCACGCTGGGATTTTGTCTGGTTTGAGCTTACATAGGTCTTTGTCCACGCTGTCACACTGGCGTGAGTTCATGTGTGCACCTGCCCTGTGCTATCTTCTTCGTGTTGTTGTTTTGAGACAGTGTTTCTCTGTATAACTCTGGCTGTCCTGGAACTCACTCTATAGACTAGGTTGGCCTTAAACTCAGAGATTCTCCTGCTTCTGCCTCCCGAGTTCTGGGATTAAAGGGGTGCACCACCACCACCCTGCTGGCGCCAATGTGTCTTAATGACTTATCATTATACCTATAAATCAGTGGGTTTCTCCTGCTTCATCAGAGAAGCTTATTTCTGTAGTATATGATGATTAACACAGAGGTCCACAACTGGTCAAGGAACAGAGAAAAGGTGGCTATAGAGTGCTCAGCCTTAAAGGAGATATCTATAAAATACTCCCTTCCCACAAGACTCATGGATCATTGTGAAGAAGGGGCAAAAAGATTTTAAGGGATTGTGGGTGATTACAACAAAACAGTGTTTTCCAGATCCAACAGCGCCTCTTTCAACTTCTGGGCACTCTCTTGCTTGCTTGCCTTTACCTCACAGTGTCTTCTTAGCCGTCTGCCACAGCTGTGCTCTCTCTAAGCTCTTCTTTGCTCAGAACCTACTATCTTCAAAGAGGGTTAAGCATTACACTGTCAACAATGAATCCCTGACCTCTGAATTTGGGATTTGCTCCTTCCACATGTACTACAATCTGTAATGGTAATAATCCTGACCTGCACTGAGGTGACCTCTCACCTTCTGACCTCTCCTCCACTGTCCTGTCTTCTAGAGCTCTCTGGATGTAAGGACTATGTTTGAATACATTATTTAAAAATTGGTTTGTTTCATGTGTGTGATAGGTATGTGTACATGCATGTTTGCACGTGTGAAGGCTCATGTGTGCTCATGTATGCAGAACCACAGGGTTGACTTGGAGTATTGCCTTTGGTCACTTTCCATTGCATGTACTGAGGCAGGCTCTCTCTCACAGAAGCCAGACCTCACTGATTCTGGCTAATCTACCCATCTAGCTTGCCTCAGGGATCCCCTCTCTCTTCTTCCCAAGTGCTGGGATTACAGCTGGCTATCAGGACTGCTTGGCTTTTTTAAGTGGGTTCTGGGGATCTGAATTCTGACCCTCATGCTTGCATGGCAAGTATTTTACCCACTGAACCATCTCCTCGGCCCCTTACATACAACTTTTCTAAATCATCATGTTTCAGACACAGAGCAAACAGTCATTAAAATCTCAGATTTAATAAAAGCGGCATGTTCTCAAGTCTCACCTGAGACCACTCCATGGCAACCCACTTGGGGCAATCAAACAGGTTGCAAGTCTGCATCACCTTGGGCTTGGGTGCATACATGCACTTCCATTCTTCCACTTGTAGTATCTCTGCATGCATAGATTCCTCTACACACACAAAGCTCCGTCTCTGAATCCCTCCTCCGCAGGACACCGAACATGCAGTCCAAGGATTGTGTTCCCAGCTCAAAAGCAAACAAAGAAAATTCCATTATCTATTTGATGCATGCTTGTTTGTTTCAAGTGTGCGAGGGGTTTCAAAAAGGGTGACTTCGTTGTATCAAGTCATGATTCCATTGAAAGAACACAAACCCTGAGTCTCCAAGGACTTTAATCTTAACTGTGGTTACAAGGAATGCACCTTCTCTGAACATGAGTTTTCTATATGATGGGAATAATATAAGCACCTTAGTTATCCCTCAAAGGGCCTTTATGAATATTGAACTAATTAAAATATAGAGTGTGAAAGGGTCTTTAAATTGTCTCTCAATTATAAAATACTCATGGATCACATTACTGAGAATCCTAGAAAGTCAAAGCCAAAAGGAACCATACTATCTGAGCATAGTGTTACATGCTTGTATTTCTAATGCTTGGGAGGTCAAGGCAGGAAGATTAAGAAGTTGAGGCCAACCTCAGTTGTATAGAGGCTGGGACCAACCTGGACCACATGAGATCCTGTTCCAAATGAAATAACAAGAAAAGAAGAAAACAAGGAAGGAAAGAAGGAAGGAAGGAAGGAAGGAAGGAAGGAAGGAAGGAAGGAAGGAAGGAAGGAAGGAAGGAAGGATACTAATCATCTAGTTATCTAAGAGGATTCAAGTTCTAATCAATGGCTCTAATTCAGTGGTTCTCAGACCATGGGTTTCGACTCTTTGGGGTCATGCTACCCTTCCACAGGGGTGAGATATCAGCTATCTCACATGTCAGATTTACATTAGAATTAGAACATTATGAAGTAACTATTTTATGAAAATAATTTTATGGATCACCACAACATGAGGAATTGTATTAAAAGGTCAAAGCATTAGGAAGGTTGAGAACCACTAATCTATTTTGTTGTTGTTGTTTGTTTGTTTGTTTGTTTTTTATACCCAGTGTTCTGGATGAGCTTGATGTCATCTTCAGTGATGGGTACAGCACTCCATACACAACCTTTCAATGGCAGCTTGCTACAGCTAATTCTTAGAAACATCTTTCTCATCATTGAGCTTGTTGCCTTTTAACTTCATAAACGGAAAAAAAAACCCACATAGAATCTTAAATAAAAACGGAAATATGGAAATATTTAACTCACCGAGGGAGAGGTTGGAAGTGGTCATAGGGCATAATCTCTTTAAAGCCGTCACTGCAAAAAAAAAAAAAAAAATCACAGTGAAAATGCGGTCATTCAGTAATACAAGTTCATTGTGAAAATATCATTTCTAATTCAGTAAATATATCTGTCAATTGACTAACCCAGATTTGATACCTCACAAGACAGAAGTCTTCCACCAAAAATGCTTACTGGCTCATTGGCCACGCAACCAAAATTCAGGAAGCATTTCTTTAGTTTTCAAGAGAAACACTCATTAAAAAAATATTTATTTACTATTTATTTATTACAATTTTTTTTCACTTTGTATCCCAGCTGTAGCCCCCTCTCTCATTCCCTCCCAATCCTACCCTCCCTTCCTCATCTCCTCTCATGCCCCTCTCCAAGTCCACTGATAGGGAGGTCCTCCTCCCCTTCCATCTGACCCTAGCCTTTCAGGTCTCCTCAGGACTGGCTGCATCCTCTTCCTCTGTGGCCTGGAAAGGCTTCCTCACCTGGGGGCATAGTAATCAACGGAAAAATCTTTATCTAAGTAAGCTTATTATTTCACTTTAAGCATCATAAAGCTAATACAATTAATTGGTGCTATGAACACAGTGCCGTGTTGGCAGACTCTTCAGACTCTGTCCCTTAAAGCGTCTCTGTTAATAGGGATGTCCAACCAGATTTACAGGAAATGGGCAGGATAGTGACAGGAAACGAGAGCGGCAGACAAGGTTGTTTTCCCTCTTGCCCACTGTGGCCATGGCCAGCTAGAAAACAGCTGGAGGATTCAGGGGCTTGATATTGGGCTGATATTTTAAGATGCTGTAGGAAAGCCAGGAAACTTACTTGGACAATCCAAGTCAGCAGGTACTAAATTACACAGCAGGACAATTTCTGCATAGCTTTTCTACTTTGGCATGAAAACTGCTTACTTCCTTGCACAGTGCATTATTTATTCGGAGTTAAACGTGAACACTTCAAAAGCCAACATGTACTAATGGGTGACCCAGTAAAAAGCCTAAAATAGCGAGTGGGAGATACTTATGACTGACAGATGGACCATGAGTGGAGTACGGGAAGATCCACACGTATGGATCTTTAATATATGTATGTGCAAGAGATGCCCCAAAGGCTTCATTATAAAAAAAATCTTCTATATACATAATCTTATGACAGGAGAGAGCTAGCCTGAAGAACCGGATCAGCAAAAGTGTCTTAGTTCCTTTTAACTGTGGTTTAAAATGTGCATCAGGAACCAGAACTACGTCGCCCTGAAAAGATCACTGTGTCCCCATTGGAGTGGACGTGTTTCTTTGTTGCACCAACCTCGATGGGCAAGGATCCATGCTGCATTCCTTCAGCTTTGGTTTGGGCTTCACATTCTCTGGGTAGTAATGGCAATAGTGGTCAGGGACCACCCTTTTCAGGCGGATATCCATGCATTCCGCAGAGTTGAGCTGATAACCTGAAGGTGTAGGAGGGGAGCGGATGAAAGCTGCATCATTTTTGCATCTGCGTGACAAGGGTATGTGCCACATGCTTGCGTTCCTCTGTAGGTAACCTAGCTCAGTGGTCTCTGTGGTATTCAGCTCTGGGACTGAACAGAAGGGCAAGGGAGAATTGCCAAATGGGTACCAGGGCTCTTCATGGTAATTAAGCCAGAAGCATTGCGACTGAGGCCTAGGAGATGGGACTTTCTGTAGAGAAGTCTACAGACTGACTAAGACCCAGAACCAAGCACAAATACTTGAACTGACCATTATCTACAGACTCCTTTTAGGGACTGTTTGGGCCTTGGGTACAGTTTGGCTCTTCATGGTTCTCAAATTACTGCCTGTCTGTTCCTAGTCACTATGGCAGCCCCTCTCTTCCTCCTTCCCTCTTCCCCATTCCCATCTTCCTCTCCCCAGATACCTGTTCTGATTTATTGTTTATATATTCTCAAGTGTGACACTGTCTTGCATAACATTGTTTGGGGTGCAGGTTTTAAACTCAATTGACTATACGTTATTTATATATACAAATATATTATGAGTATGATTAAATATATAAACTCAATTATGTTAGAAAACATATCTGTGGGCTAAGGACTCAAACTTGGGGCCTTGGACATGCCAAGTAAGAACATTGCCCTTGACCTAAACCCTGAGCACTGATGATGATTTAAATCTTGCTCTATTTTCCACTTGTTAAGGTTTTTTTTTTTTTTTTTGAACTCTACAGTATGTTTTGAGAGCTGACTCTGACTGTTTCTTTTACAATACTCCACTGTTTGCCTCTGCTGTGTTTACCCATCTGTGCTCCTGAGGTAGCCAGGGTAGCTTCAATGCCAATAACCTTGCTGACTAGGGAACTGGCAATGTCAGTAGAGGCAGGAGCAAAATCCATCTTCCTACTTCCTCTACCACACAGGCTTTCAAAGGGGAAGGAATGAAGACTCCTGATTTTAGTAAATCCAATTTGGACCATTTATTCTTTGAGGAAACTGAACATTCCAAGGTACTGAGCACAGTAAACTAAAAAGTAACTCATGACATTACCCTTTGCCTTCCTGGAGATTCTGATGCCACTTTCCTGTCACTGTATAAATGTCATGTTAACTAATTTTTTTTTAAATAAGGCAATTTTTCAAAGCAAAAATGAGCTTAAAAAAAAAAACAACTCATGCTCAATGTCTGCCAATTGGTTTAAAGGTCTAAAAATAAATCTCAAGTCCTGATTAATGAGAGGACTCTGGCTTTACAAGCCAGTAAGCAGCTTTCTACAAGACATGGCTTGGAAGTAAGCTGAGTTCAGAGGACCAGGAGACAGATGGGTGGGTACCCATTACAAAAAACGAGATTGAAACCGCAAGAATGGAAATGCAAATGGCATCAATAACACAGTCCTCTAGTGCCAGCGTCTGTCAGAAAACTAAGCTATCAGATGATCGTGGCAATCCCAGCCAATCTCAAGTGTATCGTGTAGATAATTACAGACAAGGGCAGGCAATCCTTCCAGTACCCTTGGTGCCTCAGAGACCTACCAATTCATTTTCTTCTTTATCCAAAAATCTCTGGCATGTCAATTCATACAATCATGTAGGTTTGGTTACTAATATAATTAAGATTTGGCAGTGTGTTCTGTATGAGTTTGATGTGGGTACTTTTTTAATTTCCCCCAAACAAGTACAGACTAAGATTACAGTTCCTTGAGTCAGAGAAAATCCCATCTCCTAAGTGGAAACATTCCTCTAAAAGGACGGGATGGGGGACATACAGGTGTTTATAATTTGAGAAAAAGAATTCATTTTCCTATTTAATTTTATTGCAGTTTAGAGATTACCGAGAGTAAAGAAATAAGGCAGATTTTCTTTCAATATTGTGAACAAATGCACTGAAATCCTGCCAGTGTGTGGGAGAGGCCAGGCAGCCCCAGCAGCCTTTGTGTCCTTCACATCCCTTCCCACTGGGGTTGATCTCACTGGGAGGTGCCCCTGTACACGCTCATGGCTCCAGAAGGACAGACTGTCTGTCTGTGGATAGCAAAGTGTGAAAAACAGTTCTCCCGCTCCCAAGAATGTAATCAATGGGACTACACTGAATCCTGCTGTAAAACGTCTCCCCTGTAGAGAAAAGCTTCTCTTCGGTTTTATGAGTCCAAACAGAAGTGTCTCTCTGAAGAAACTGTGTGTGAGAGGCCAGAAACAAATAAGAGGAAAGGGAAGCCTGTTTCTCTGCAGAGTGAGAACTGAAAAGCCTCCGCCATCTCCTGGTGATCCATTGTTTTGGGACCCATGAGGTACTGTTGTCTTCCCTGGACCTGTGACCTACCTACCTCCCTAAGGATGTGGGACTCATCCCTAAGGATGTGCCCTCCTCAGGAGCTCTCCCTCGGGTCCGCTTAGTCAGCACCAGTGTGACTAGGACTGCAGGGAAGAGAGGGGCCTCCAGGCCCCGTTTAGCTGCAGACACAGAAGGTAAGTTTGAAGTGCTCACTAGGTGTTGGGGGCCGGACTACATCCTTAGACAGGTATTGTTGCATTTCGCCACACAAAGTGCCACCAGGTGCAGAGTCCTACCGACAGATGAGAAACTGAGCTTAAAGAGGTCGAGTTAAAGGAGAGACAGATGACTGAGCCCCGATCCTCAAACTCCATCATTCTGCTTAGCCCACTAGGCCAGGCTGTCCTCTTTGTGGCGGTTGAGACAGGACCAGAGCCTGTACACACCAGGCAAATAGTCTCCCACCAAGCTGGATCGCCAGCCCCAACACTGGTTGGACCCTTGCTGGGAACTTGGCACGGAAATGTCGGAGAAGAGGACTGGCTCACGAAGGCCCAGGTTCGTCCAGCTCGGAGTTTCCATTCCAAACAGGGTTTCTCCTCAGTCACCTTGGGGAGAGCTCAGGGATTCAGTTCCCTTGGAGCCTGGCGCAGAGCCACTGATTGAAGTATCTAAAGGAGCTTTTCTCTCATATACAATTGCCTATCTCAGGGTAGAAGACACAGGTAGAAGTACCTTAGTAAGGTACTTATTAAGCACGCACAAGGCCCTGGGTTCAATCCCTAGTCCTACAAAAATTGGCCATTGTGGTGCATGCCTCTAATCCAGAACTTGCTAGGAAGAGGTGGAAGAAATTGATGTTCAAGGTCCCTGGCTACATAGCTAGTTTGAAGTGAGCCTGATCTACAGGAGAACCCATGTCAAAAAGCAAACAAGCAGACAAGAGTTTTGTATCATGTTTGACAAAGTTCAGAAATTAACAATAAACCCAAAGAAGGTCGGAGCAGGCAAGAAGTGAATATCTTCTACTATAGTTGTGTTTTCATCATATTTGTCTTTGTGGTTGTCTTCCATTTATTTCCTACATCAGGGGTTATGATTCAGTTATTTTTCTAAATATGTTGAAGTTTTAAAAAATATATCCATTTTGCCGGGCAATGGTGGCTCACATCTTTAATCCCAGCACTTGATCAGTCAGGAGGCAGAGGCAGGCAGATTTCTGTGAGTTTGAGGCCAACCTGGCCTACAGAGTGAGTTCCACAATAGCCAAGGCTGTTACACAGAGAAATCTTGTCTCAAAAAGCCAAAGGAAGGAAGGAAGGAAGGAAGGAAGGAAGGAAGGAAGGAAGGAAGGAAGGAAGACTCCTTGGTCTTTAATAGTTCAGTGGTAACACATACAAGGCAAAAATGGTGATGTCCCCGAGGCTCTAGCCCACAGCCAAGGATGTTGCCTTACAGAGTAATCCTTACAATGCCGAGTACACCGTGAGACCCTGGGACCCTGAGAAACACAAAAGACCCATACTCAGAATTCTGACTCAGGGAGTCTTGGGTGGGCCCAAGACTTTGCATGTTAGAACTGCTGAGGCTGGAGTTCCAGAAGGATGCCTTCCTGGCTAGTTCTATGTCAGCTTGCCAGAGTCACCTGAGAGGAGAGAACATTAATTGAAAAAAATTGCCTCCATGATACCAGGCTGTGGGCAAACCTGTAAGGTATTTTCTTAAGCAGTGATTGGTGGGGGAGGGCCCAGCACATTGTAGGTGGGAACACTCCTGGGCTGGCGGTCTTGGGTTCTGTAAGAAGGCAGGCTGAGCAAGCCGTGGAGAACAGGCCGGTAAGCAGCACTCCCATGTGGCCTCTGCATCCGCTCCTGCCTGCAGCAGGTTCCTGCTCCTTTTTAGCTCCTGCCCAGGCTGCTTCCATGACAGATGATGATGTGGAAGTATTAGCAAAATAAACCCTTTAATCCCCAAGTTGTTTTTGGTCATGGTATTTCATCACGGCGATAGAAACCCTACCTGAAGAAGATATGTATAGGATCATAATCAAGGGGCTCATCCCCCTGCTTCTAAATAAACTGCCTGGTACTCAGAAAAATTCAGTTTTTCTTTCACTTGAAGGCCTTGACGCATCCTCAGGCTATCGTTCCTCCATTCCTAGGACACAGGAGTGGCTCTGGGCTTCCCTGTGATTCCCCACAGAGGAGTGAGCATCTCCTTTCAGGGAAAGCTTAAATCCCAGACCTGGCACTGCCCAAGAAGCCTGCCTCAGTGTGCCTGTTGTGAGGATGGCAGAGGCCTGACTTTCTAAATGGGAGTTATTCTGTAATCTTCAAGGGAGGGGATGCTTTGGGGCTGGGCTAACTATTTAAACAGAACCCCCACCCAAGCTGTGTCCCTTGCATAGGAAGCACAAAAGGGCAGCGTAATTGGAGCCTGACTTTGTCATATGATGGACTGGAGCCCTAGCTGAGTTTTACCTCAGCAGTGCATATATCAAACACCAAACAGACTTTCTCAGGCTGTGAAGGCTGTGACAAAGAGCCCCCAGCACACAGCTGGTCAGGTTGCAAGCCCTCAGTATCTGTCTGGTCTTCATAGACCCTGGCAACTTGGGACTCCTCATCTGGCACCAGAATCCCTCACTCTCTTATTTAAAAGTTCAGCTCATACAATGAGTCACGTTGGCACTGGCTGTGGCTGCCTCCTTATGGACTCCAGGCTATCATGTCTCCACACTAGGTGAACCAGTGTCCACCGAAACCCTTGTACTTTGCAAGCGTGTTGCACTTGGATTACACTTGACCCTAGACCTTCTCCAACTGCCTATTGGGACCTTGAACTCAGGCAAACACAAGACACTATCTTCTATCCCAGTCTTAAAGCCCATCCCAACCAGGCATGTGTACACCCTGACTCAGAGCTCGGGGCATCCAGGAATAAAGTCAGTGCCTCACCTCCTCCGCATGTCACGGTGCAGGGGAAGAAGTCAGTCTGTCTCCACTGATGGCTGATGGGCTGGTAAAAGAAGAAGTGGACCACGCTGCTTTTGGCCACCGTGTACCTGGTCTGGACAGAGAGAACAGTGAAGCACGGCACGTTCCACTCAGTGAGCCTCGGCCCTTCCCGCCTTCCTTACTCATCTTGGCCAACACCAACAAGCAGGACGATAAGCTAAGCCACAGAAGGACTATGAGGGCTTTAGTGGGACAGCCTGGCACTCAGACTTAAACCAACTGGGGGTTCAGGCGGTGACTCACAAGTCTCCCTGGAGTCATTTTTTTTTTTTTCATATAACTCTGCCTGTGAACAGATTCACAAAACAGTTCATAGACCCATTTGTTTACTTATCCGGGGCTTTTCCTTCCTGAAGTATTCGTTTCAGCTTCCATGACACCAGAAACTGAGATTTAATTTGGGCTGGGCTTGCTTATAGCATAACATATAACTGGGACTCTGACTCCATTTAATTCTTATTTTGCTTTGATATTATACAAATGATATTTAATTTTTCATTAATGTGTATTCATTGTATGAGGCAATGGGCCTCACTGTGATATTTCCGTACATGTAAATAATATACTTTGATTCTAACATTTTTAATAACAACACCTTAAGCAGTCCATTCTGGAAGTGCTTCTAATGGCATAACTTGGAAGACTTACCTGCAGTGAACACAGATACACTGTGGTCATATGCGAATGTTCTAGTAGCTAGTTAAAAGGGAAGGGCACTGCTGGGGACAGGGAGCAGTTATCGGCAGGACTGCATTTATAGGTGATTTCACTCAGGCAACAAGCTCTCTTCCTACTTTATCTTTACTTTCTTCCCTTGTTGAACAACAGAAACTTCATGAATTTAGAAAGGCTTCCAGGAAGCAGCACAAAGAGGAAAAATAAAAGTTAAACCCAAAACAGAAAGACACCAAAATGCAAACAATACATACAAACACTCAAGATTTTAATACCTGAAAAATCAACAAAAGAGGAAACTTCGAGTGTTTTCAGTACAGTAAAGTGACAAGGAAGTGAGGTAATTGGGTCTCCTTAGCCGTTCTACTGTCTATGCAAATGTTCCAGAAATTAAACGATAAGGTGTTAGCTTCCACCAGAAATGGAGGTAACAATTATCATGACTAAAATCGGTTTCTTTAAAAACTCGGTTATGTCATGTAAATATGTTTTCGTTTTAATCCCGAGTGTGTGCTATGCAGTTGCTTTTAGTTTGTCCACAGCTGATAAAGCTGATAACAGGCTCGTATAGAGGGCCGAGGTCTTTGCCAGCTGAAAACTGCTTCATTCAGGCTCAGAGAGAGCCTGAATGCTCAGAGAGAGCCTGAATGTGGTGATCTTTGCCAGCTGCAGAGAGTGGAATTCTGAGGACTCTAAAAAGGTACAAACATGAAAGCCTAGAGAGAGGAAGGCTTCAGGGAGATGGAGGGACAGAGAGAAGGCTTTGGAGAGACATATCAAGGAGGATGAAAGCTGTTTGTTCATCCTGCTGCATTTGCTGTTTGCTGTTTGCTGTTGCTGGCCTGCTAGATATCCTGATGACTGAGACTGGCATTTTACCAAAGAACCCGATGACCTTAACTAGCTGAAACTGGTCTAAAGAAGTTTAAGTCCCCTTTCCCTTCTAACCTTCTTTCTCTCATACCTAGGGTTAGGGTGTAGGAAGGGAGGTAGAGGCATAAGGAACCCCAAATAAAGGAGAGTTTTTGAAAGATGCCAACAGAAATGTGAACAGTCACAGAGCAGGCTGGAGCCTGACAGACGCTGAAGAAGGCAGGCACCAAGCACCCCGGGGCTTCAGGGTTGATAGTCTCTCTTGTAAAGTGTTTTATAGAGTGACTACCTGGAAAGAGCATCCCAAGGAAGCAAAGAACCCGCCCTGGGGAGCTGGAAGATGGCCCAAAAGGTCAGAGCCATCTTACTAGCTACTCCTCTAGAGGACCTGGGTTCTAGTCTCAGCACCCACATGACAGATCAAAATGGGTCTGTTACTGCAGTTCCAGGGGATACGACGCCCTCTTCTGTTCCCCATGGACACCAGACACATACTTAGGACACAGGCACTCATGTAGGCAAAGCACTCAAACAGTTTTAAAAAACAACAAACAAACAAACAAACAAAAAACCCGACCTAGAAATATATGCAAAATCTACAATAATATAAAGCCATATCCAGTGGTGTATAAAATGACATATAGGCTTATGAATAATAAAATAATACATTCTAAAATATAATGCTGATTCCTGAATGGGGCTTATAAAAGAAAGCATGGATGATTTAACACTTGAATCAGATTAAAAAGGGGAAAAGGAGAAAACCACATCTTTGTCTTAAAAGACACAGCAAGCTTTGGTAAATTCACATCACGAAACAAAATTTCTTCTACCAGGTAAGATAGCTTCAGAAGACTCTACAAGAAACTTCATATAAACCAGGCACAAGAGGGAGCTTTGTCCTGAAATGACAGACATCAGATGAAGGCTTCGGTATTCATTTCTGCTCATCATTGTATCACATGTCCTAAATAAGGCAAGATAAAAAGAAAACACAAAACGACAGAAGAGAAAACCACAACTGTCATTAGACAGATGTCCTGATCTACACATGTATACTTCAAAGGAACACATAGATGACGAGCAGGGCTATATGATGACAGTAGTGACACATAATAGGACATAAAAGTCTGTTCAGTTTTCACTCGCTAGACACAAACACATAGAAATGGGGGAAGATATTATGTATAAGAACATCAAAACAAGCACTGGAGATAAGTGTCATACAAAATACCTGAGACACACATACTGGAAATCACAAATACTGGGAGTAATTTTAAGTAACTAAACAAAGGAATGGAGACACCATCATTATGATTCAGCGGGCCTAGTTTGGGACGCTGCTGATTTTCCTAATTAACAGATCCGAAGAGTTCGGTCTGTTTGATTGAAAAAAATAAGTTTAATAAGTTAAGTTTAATAAACTTATATTTTTAAATTTCTATTTCATGTGCATTGGTACATTGATGTTTTGCCTGTATGTATGCCTGTAAGGGTGTCAGATCCCCTGGAACTGGACTTACAGACGGTTTTGTGGATGCTGGGAATTGAACCCAGGTGCTCTGGAAGAGCAGCCAGTGCTCTTAATTGCTGAGCCATTTCTCCAGCCCCTATTTACTTATATTTAATCTTAGAATTTATTCTTTGAGAATTTCATATGTGATTACAATGTATTTTAGGTCATATCCACCCCTTGATCCCCTTGATTCCTTGATTCCAAGGAATTTTATAAAAACTGACCAACTGACTTCAAGATTGACAGGAAAATGCAAAATCAAGAAGAGCAAGGATCCTCTTCAAGAACACAGATAAAGAGTCCTCAGCACCTATATTAAGATTTACTTTAACATAGCAGTAGATAATCACAATAGTATTGAAATAACTCTCCCCAAGAAACAAAAATCCTTCAATACATCTACACAGTGTGTTTCTGTATTTAGGTTAAGAAAAAAGGGGGTGTTCTCCATGCAGTGGCCTTGTGTTCATGTGATAGTCACACTGAAAGAAATACTAATTGAATTTCCAACATATACAAAACTAAGGGTAGGTGAAAGGTAAAACATTAAAGTCTTGGGAAGCCAACACAGAAGAGTGTCTCTACAACTTGGATGAGGCAAAGATTTCTTGCTCAAGACACAAAGAGCACCAGGGGCATGTCACACCACAGACAGGCAATAAATATGGATATATCACACCCAAGCAGGCAATAAAGATGATGTGCACACTGTAAACAGGAAGTAAAGATGGGTCTGCCAACACTGCAAACAAATTAAGAACTATTGCACTAACAGTGGAGAAAACTATGACCATGAAGTGATTTAAGAATTCAGTGATAAGCCCGGCGTAGTAGTACTTGCCTTTAATCCCAGTATTCTGAAAGGCAGAGGCAGGCAGATCACTGAGAGTTTGAGTTCAGCCTGGTCTACAAAGTGAGTTCAGGACAGCCAAGGTTACACAGAGAAACCCTGTCTCATCAAAGGAAAGAAAAGAAAAGAAGGAAGGAAGGAAGGAAGGAAGGAAGGAAGGAAGGAAGGAAGGAAGAAGAAATTCAGCTTTAGAAACTCAAGACACAACATCCCGTTCTATTCCTAGAACGTTCTGTTCTATTCTATTCTATTCTATTCTATTCTATTCTATTCTATTCTATT